TGATTTCTCATTTCAATGTCTTTGTGTAATATGTCTCAACCGTACCTCATCTAATTTAATAAGATGCAAGCTAAGGAAGTACTTAAGTTACTTATCAAGGGTTTCAGATGACACATTATTATTGTACTCAAAAGTCAATATTTGCTAATCATGTTAGTACAGGAACTGATCCAGGGTTACAATTCTTGAATTGCAAAGGCATTTAAGATTAATTAAACCTATCTCCTCCTTACTCAACACATATACACATAGCACCCCCCTCCACCCCTCTTCTGGAATGGATGAGTTGGTGTCTCCATAATAAAAACCTGCCTAGTCTGCAGCTTTAGGATGAAAAACCATTGTTTCTCAGCTTTCTTTCTCCAACACTGGTGCGGTCACTCAGAGCCTGACGTCAGGCACTTGGGTAGCTCATGTTCAGCATGTTGGGATTGTGCCCTTTGACACCGCTATGATATCAAACCAATCAAGTGTATTCTACCTGTGATGTGTGCACAAGACTGCAGTTGAAATCAGGGGAGAGCTACATGCTGAGCAAAAGCAGAGCCCATCTGGGCAGTGCGATGCAGGTTGAGAAAGCCTGATTGCTCATTTCATTTCATCTGGGATTGCTCATCTAATAGGCGCACATTTAAAGGTACTGAGGTGTTGAGCAAGCCTTGTTCCACACAGTGGCAGAAGAACAGTGAGTTTACACTGTGCTACACATTCTAATTTTTCTTTTCTCATACGTAATGGGAACAGTTAAAAAATGATCTATGTCTTTCTTTCTCTCTTAAAGCTGTTGATGAATTTGGCATGTATAACGTGAAAAGATTTAGTGCATTTCCTAGGGCAAAGTACAGTGTGAGCAGGTGATGTGCAAGCTTCCACATGCAGAGCTGCCAGGGCTCTTTCAGGATGGATTTGCAACCCTCCTGCTATATACCAGCCTTGGTCTCCTCTGAGCACACTGTCAGCTGCTCAGAGATGATGGCTGCATCTGTACATGCGCATTTCATAAGCAATGTGGTGACTTCCTGATAGGATCATATATTTATTCAGAACCTGGCTTAGAATGAGATACAGATTTGCCTTTAAGTGGCAGTCTCTTAGGGGTTGAAATGTGTCTTACCTGCTACCCAGCATTTATTATTGTAGTTTGTATGTGACTGCGGTTTTCCCTTACACCTTTAAGCCATTATTATATTGGTCTAAACAGTGTAGATTAAATGTTTATATGAAAATAATAGAACAGAGTGGAGAATTGGAAACAATCACATTAGGAGAGATTCTGATCTACATAAAACTCAGGCAGGACACAACAGTGAGGCAATCTGCACTGGATTAGCCCAGATTTACCCTCATTAATGGGATAGTAGTATTGGAAACCACAGGAGTGATTCACCATAGAGACACTTGTAAAACTGGTGTATTGCAAAGGCTTATAAAATGGGAGGTGTTCACTGTTATCTGGAGATTGAATTGATATTGTGTATTAAATCATACAGTGACTGCATGGGTTTTGATCTAGGCATGTAGAACATCAACATGCAAATTAAGCAAAAAGGGTAACTGTTTTGGGTACTGCGGTACCCAGTCTGCTTACATCTTAGATCAACCCAGTATTAGGTAAAATACTCAAAATTACACATTCTGTTTAATATCCCAATTACTGTTGAACTATTAATCTGAATGTGCTAACAGTGGCAGTCACATAAATTTGGCACCTGAAAGCCTCTAAATAGTAATCTGCTATCCTCAGGTAGTATTCATTCAATTTAAAATATGAGACAATTTACCCTTTAAAGTTCCTTCCCCCCCCCCATTTTGTTTTTAATTAAGCATTATTTTATGCATGTCTTTTAACATGCTAATTGATTCATTTAGACCTGCCACACACCGGCTGAATTACTAATCCCATTTATTTATTTATTTTTCTTTAAATCAATAACGATGCCATTTTTAGCATGCTTTGGAAGCATTCAAATTCCTAGCTATTTCTCTGTGTGTGTATCTGTTTGCCTCAGTTGATTGTTAGGACAGGGAATGTCACACTTGCCTTTACTGGTCTATGCAAACTCAATTTGATAATCTTAGCTCATCTCCCAGTGGAGCGCGTATCCGTGTCACAAATGTCACCTTTGAAACTGGCACTAATTGGCATTCATGTTGGAAGTCTCAGTGGAATGGCCATAGACACAAGGTGAAATTTTGGCTCTGTTGAAGGCAACAGGAGTTTTGTCATTGACTTTAATAGGGTCAGGACTTCTTCCAGAGACTGAACTGCCTCTCATACAGATGTTCATACTGGGCTGGGAGCTTCAAACCCTCTGTGTTTGCTCATGACTAATAAAATGGTGTTTTTCTGCTAACCTTCGTCCTTCTCCTGACAGGATCTAGTTGTCTTTTTAAGGGACAGAGTGAATAAGCCCAGGTAAGATCCCAGCTTCCTCTTGTACTGTCCTCCCCACATCTTAGCTCCCTTCTTTTTATACTCTGTCATGTCTTTCAAGCGCAAGTTGTCTGCCTTCTGTTATCTCTCCATTCTTCTGTGCTTGTGTATTTTTAGGCACTGTTTTTTAGACCCTCTGCCTTCAAGCATGCTCTTGCTCTTGAAAGAATGAAATTCCTTTAATTCAGTCTCCCTTGAAAAAACCCACTGATTTCTTCATGTCTCTCGTCTCCACATTCTCAGAAGCTGCTGCTTCTTCCCACTTCTATGTAGCTTCTGAAGCTGTAGCTTCTCCGGTTCCTGTACATGGCTTGATCTGAGGACAATCTTTGTCGATCTCTTCCCTGACCAAGATCCCTCCCAAGACTTTGCTTCTGTAATTCTCTCTTTTTCTCAATCCCAATTTGCTTGGAGATGCACCCTCCCTGACATTGCCTGTATTTTTTGTGCCTTCCTTTGCTACTTGGTCTCCCCATTGCCTCACAGAGGCAGCCATGAGAGAATCCTGGATGCACTTGCCCTTCTCTGCCAGTCACTCGCTTTCTCTACCAGTAATGCTCTTGCCTGGAGTTTCATAACCATTTGCTTCTTCACATCCAGCTGCCACTTCAGTATTGGCTTGACTTCTTAAGGTTAGGTATTTACCACTTCTTACTGATTTTCTGATCCTATTTTCCTCTGTCAGTTCTGTTACACTTCTTGTCTCCTGGACTGTCTCCTAGACCATCATTTCTCCCATTTTGCTGCCTCTTTCTCCTGCCTGTCTTCCTAACATGGTGGCTATCATGATCTTTTTTTTCACACAAACTGTTATGATCATCTCTATTCTTGACAGATGATGTCTGCAAAATCTCCCCACTTCCTCCCTTCCATCTAGAACGCTGCTTGCCAGTGCCACCTTGTCTCCACCAGCCAGCAGCTTCCTTGATTTTTGACTGCCTGCTGTAAGAAATTCAAGCTATTAAAAACCCTGTGAAATCTATTACGTGAAGTTCTGCTGCCATTTATCTTCACACAATTTAGCCAGCTGCTTTTCCCATTCTTCTTTCTTATAGGTTTCTTCTGTCCCTTTTTCCTCTCTTTGCACTTTTTGCTGTGCTGCTTCATAGACAAGGAAGCATTTTTTGTCACCCATGAGCAATATATTCTTTTGCTTCCTGAAGTCTTCCATTAAAACTCATCTCTAAACTCTGAACTGTCCTTTTCTCTCAGTCATGCAGGCAGCAAAACCTGTGATATTGGCCAGAGGTCCGTTAATGCAGTCTCTTCTCTCGTGCCCAGTCACAGCCCTGGTGAAGTCAGTTAACGTCCATCATGTTACCTGGAGCCTGTGGGAACAGTAGAGTGGTGATAGGTACTTGTGTTTGTAGTGCATGGATGGTGCTCATCCTGCCACAATACATTGTTCTTAAGAATAATCGCTATACTGAGAAATGGAATGATTGCACTTGGGGGGGAAACATAAGAAAACAGTGAATACCTTGAAGCCTGGAGCAAAGCTGAAAGCAGGAGCTGCAAGCTCTGCTGGCTGCTGTTTTGAAAGATTTGCATTAAAAGTCAGGTGGGGAGTTCTTGGTACACACAATTACTTGTGACTCGGCAAGCATTGCTACACAGAACTGCAAGTTTTACTGGTTGAGTTGTTACGGCTGAGGCTGTGTAGGAGTTAGAACAAGGTTATCTCAGTGAGCTTAATAGAGCAGGGTGAATTTTTTGCATAGGTTTGTATTTTACCCTGCAGAGTTCCCTCAGCCAACCTAAAAGGAGTGCTGGAGGAGTGTGGTGACTACACTCCCTGGACTGAAATAACAAAATACTTCTGTGTGTGGACCATTAAGCAAGATTATTAGAAATATACCCTCTGATACTGGGAGAGTATATAATGCTACAAAGTGCTACAAAAATGTTTCGTTCTTTGGTATCATGATATGGGGGCTGTGCAAGCCTTGACTCTTCCTGGAGAGGAGGGAGTCATTTTCAGCTCATACAGGGCTGCCCTTCGACTTCAGGTCAGACCACTATATCCTGTGTTCTGTGACTGACTCTCTTTTTGTGATAGGACAAGGTCTAGAGCTGAAGGTCTTAAGTGGTGAGAGCTACAGAGAAATGAATGGAAAGCTCCAGATTTAGATCTTCAGCCTGCTTTCATGTATCCACTACCACAAACTTCACTGTGTCCAAAACACTCCCACTACAGGAAACCACATCATATTAAATGGCTGGGGTCACTGCGTATCCCCCCGTTGCACCTTTCTTGTCCTGTAACCCATTCACTGTGCAGATTCATTTTAGTTGGTGTAGGAAAGGTTTTCCTCTGGAAACCTTGCAGTTCTGATTTCTTCGACCTCTGACTGTGTTCAAAGCTTCTCTTCAGTCCAGGAAATCCAAAGGTGACCACTGTCCCTCCGCTGTGGCTCTGTGGCACAAAGTCTTTTGTCTTCTCTTTTCTCACAGCTGTCTGTGTGATGACAAATGGCCCAGCTGGCGGTCACTTGACAGCCAGGCCCTAGTCCTGCCCCTCTCCATCACAACATTGGTTTGGATACATCTGCATGATTACGTTTAGGTGCAAGTTAATTACTGAAAATTCCTGGCCTCTGAGCCGATCGGGACTAATTAAACCTCATGCTCCCTTCAGCATAGCAGTGGATGCCATATAGTACTGCATTCATCTAAGAGCAATGAAAACCTGTGCGGATTGCCCAGTGCAGTTCCAGCTGCAGGTAAATTTTTCCAGACACGTTTAGAATATACCTTAGAAAGGAACTTTAAAAGGCATCTCTGTTACCCAGTGGACCATTGCAAATACCGACCTTGACCAATAAAAGGCGAAGCACACCTGTGGGGCTGGAGTGAGAAATCACAAGTTTCCCATGGAGCTCAAAAGAAAGTCTGTGCGTTCCTGTGTGCAAGGACATTTTATGTATTGGAGGTCGACTTTCTGCACATTCAGAGGAACAAATCCTCCAGTTGTGTAAAGCGTCTCCAGCTCCACAGAGGAACTATGACAATTTACACCAGCTGAGGTGCTGCTCAGCATTTTTGGTTATGGGCCTTACTTACTCATGGCTAGTTAGAGTTCCTATGGAGCTGTTAGGGCACGGTGTGGATGTAAATCTTACTTTAGATGCCTTTGGAGCACTTAGGAGATAGCATGCCTGTCTATAAAGTAGAAACATCCTTGACCATGTGCCTGGCATAACCTTATAATAGAATGCTGCCATAGCAATCTGCCATATAGCTATTTTTACCTAAATGAAGATCTACAAATAACATCCGCTACAATGTCACTACACCAGATAATTAAGTAGTGAAGAAGATCCCTTTGTGTTTTGATGTAGCCCATTTCATTTGTGTCTGCATCTTTAAGCAGTTACGTCCCAGAATAAACCTCATCTACCCAAAAGTGTTGCGCTGACTTACCTATTTCTTCTTCTAGAAATTGTTTAGTCAGGGATTGATGTCAGCCATTCTCTTATTGAAACAGGTTTGTTAAACAGTGAACAGCAGCCTTACGTAAGCAAGGCCTAGGGTACTGTCACAGAGCGACAGTTCTTACTGCAGTAAAGTAAGGTCAGTGTAAATAAGAATTCAGTTGTATGGCTAGACTGTTGAACATAGATAGTTTCTGCGTATTCACTGTGGTAACTCACATCTCCCTGTGGTGGGACTCAGCTGCAAAGGTGGTGTGGCATTTTCATGGCAAGGCCCTAAAATACAGACATTTGAGAACACCTCCTGCTCTCCACAACACCGTGAGTGATGCCAGGCAAAAGGCAGGGTAAGGGTGAACAAGGAAGCCATTACTGGTCTTTGTGTAAACCTCCTAGAGGTCAGCATGTGCAAAGCCAGCAGGGAGCAGGGGGAAGGAACAGCTTGGTCTCCTGAGTCCTTGTCTGTGTTCCACTCCTCAGGGAGGCCGTTTCTGTGAAGCACAGTACAACATTTCAGTATATTGTCAAGACGTGATATGTGAATTGCAAGGGATACAAAACTGTCCTACAAAAAGATGCATTTCTAGGTAGCACTAAGAGGAAAATGTAGGCCCCCATGCAAAAATATTTCCTTAGCACTTTTTAGCTTTAAAGATATTAAATTACAGTATAACTTCCCAAGAGTGTTCTTGCAAGTCATTTATACCATAACACATAAAATTATAGTAAGCCTCCATTAGTCCTGTGGCTACTTTTGTAATCAGTTTTGAAGAATGTGCTCCATCAGTGGAAATATTTTGATTTAAGTTCATAGTGAGGAGCAGTCTAAAAGTTACACTCTAAATTACACTTCAGAATAAGTCCCGTGGTACATCCTTACAATATATATGGTATGCTGACTCCATGTAATTAAATTCTTGTCTCAAGTTGTCATTAAGTTGCAGTAAATACTGAAGCTAACTTCAGTTAAAAATAGATTTACTTCTTGATCTTAGCTGATGAATGTTCTTGTATAGAAAATTAATTAAACATATATATAACAGGGCAGGTCCAATGGTTTCAGCTGTTACAAGCAAGCAAACTGGCAGTGGCTTCTATCAGCATTAAGGTAGCTGATCGACCATGACATGAGGAAAAGCACACGGTTCCACACAAGACTCATCAAGGAATGAAAGTCGTAGGCCCTCTCCCGTCTTCTCATTCCTAGGTCAGAAATAACATCAAATTACTTATTAATTAATCAACCACCTGACTTCCTGTGAATAACAAAAATTAGGCAAGTTTGGAGGGTGGAAGTAATCTTTTCTTGTATGTGCTCAAGCCATTATGGAAACAGCACCACCAATAAAGGGAAAGGATGGGGAAATTTCACTGTGTGTACTGGGGGAGAGAAAGGTCAGTTCTTTGGAGAGTCCAAAAAGAATGGCATTTTTCAGGAGCTTGATGAAACTGGGTGGGATAATGGAAGAGAAAGTCTCAAAAAAATCCCTGTATCTGCAGAAAAGCTCAGGTGTGCATTTGTTCTTATTAGTCCCTAGAGAATCCACACGGGGTTCTCATTCTAGGGGACTCAACCACAAACGCTTCAGTTGGAGCTTGCATCTTTCTGAAAGTCCATTAGTTAATCTGTAGGAAATCAGGCTTGATGCCTTTCAGTGCTCACAAGATTACTAGTGTTCTTTCTGGAACACAGACAGGCAAATTGCTGAGATGACAAAGATATCCGACGTGTCTTCCAAGAATGTCTCTCACCCTTTCATGAATGTTTAAATCTCTCCATTTCCCAAATGCGTGCTTATTTGACATTTTTATAACTAACAGGTGTTTTATGTAGTTTTGTTGGTACCTCAAACTTACTCAAGAACATGAAAAAGGGTCTCTCGTTATCTGGTCTACACCAATTGACATTATCTCAAACCATCTTCAAATTTCTTTCCATTCACCTCCATAACTCTTCCTACAGGCTGTCCTCCAACTTGTCTTCATATCTCTATGGTTATCTATTAGAAAGCTGTCACTTGGCCAGACTCTTTTTAATGTGTTCTGTTGTCAAGATTTGACACTCCAGTGAAGTGTATTCAGACTTTTTTGATCTATAGAAATTTTTTATCGGTGATGAGGAGCCTTTCAGAAATTTCACATGCATAGATTGCTGTACAGCGTACATGAACTTGCTGTTCTCACTCGCCCTGCACATATCTGTTAGTAGCAGTCCATGTATATCCCCCCCCCCCCTTCCCCCCCCATACCATCCAGAGTTTATAGATTGTACAGCTTTAACACATCAAACTTGGGATCCTGAAATGTCAGTCGTGGATGACTTACACTGTAGAAGAGACCAGAGTTAAAGATCAAACTAAAAGTAAATGTAAATTTGAAACTTAGCAGATAGCTCCAGTCTCCCATAAAAGAGTAGGAGTCTGGTTGTTGTGGAAGCTTTAACAGGCCATGATTCCTAGTTAGATCTACAGAGCATACTTAACGACCCACATCATCAGTCATTGAGGGATTGCAGTTACCAAGGGATGGAGAGGAAAAAAGCACCAAGGAGTCTCCAAAAAGCCCATATGAGATTTGGATGGCTGTATTGTATGAAGGGCCTGGGTCAGCCTTTGTGACCTGGGAGAAAATTGTAGAAAAATTGAGTCTGTGAGACCTTGCCCTCAGCCCATAAACAAGCATAGCTTTCTTTTTCTTTCTTAGTACTGGTTGGAAACCTGGCATTAAAAACAAACGGAAAAGCTTCTGGGTTCCTCTGATGTTGTATGTTGGAAATTGAGGGCTTTGCTGACTTGACTGCCACTTCTGATGAGTGGCTTGCATTGAAATCACACAAGTCAGTATGCTGAAAACTGAGCAAGTGATACAGAAAACATAGTCCTTCTGTAAAATTTGGTTTCATTTATTCATCACTAGCACCTGTTTAAGTTCAATAACAAAATAGTTATTTGGGTTAATGTCATCTTCATTTACAAGCATTGGGGTTTACAGAAACATCTGGCCTTACCCAGGTAGAGTGCATCCTATAAGAAGCAACCAGGAATACAGGAATTCAAATTTGTCCTATTTCCAAGCATATATGTTGGTTGGTTGCTTGTTTTCTGGAGAATATGAGAGGTAATTAAAGAAAGAAACAAACAACCCCAAAACCCCCAGCCAACCAACCTCCTTTCCAAGTCATTATTGCTGAAGGCAGTACTTCACCTACTCGAATGTTTCTGAAGTGTTACAGAAGCCTCAGAGAACACATTTTTCTTCCTTTCTTTATGTCAGGTTTTTTTTGTTTGTCATTGAGGTTGAGCTTTCTGCAGGTCTCTTAAAACCCACAGGTTCAGCTGAGTATCCAATGGGATATTTAAAAACAACTATTCATCAAGCTCTTTTTCACACCACTGTGAATCACCAATGTGATTCCCCAGTAGTTAACTTCCCCGGGTGCTTAAATAGCCTCCTTAGACACTTGGCCCTACAGCCATGATTCTGCAAAACATGCCCAACATATGCTCAGCTTTAGGCATGTAAGAAATCCCACCCTGCTCAGCTCCCTCAAAAAAATCACACCCCAGACCTCAACTGCTGTGCTCAGTATATAATATTTTATTTGGACATCTGTTCACGGAGAGCATGGCAGCGAGTGCAAAGCTTCCTTCCCATGTCTACATGGGTCCTCATTTTCCAGGGTTAAAACCTGAATCAAGTTTTTCCTTTAGCAAGGACAAGCTGCAAAGGGCAGACGGCCTCATTAAAAAGGAAATCTATAAATCCTGTAGTCCTCTCCTCGCCTCTGTTAACTACAGTGTTTGAGGTGAAAGCTGTTAACTGCGGCTTTTAAAAGTTATGCATAAATGCAACCTTTTCCTCAAAAACTTTGAAAATGTGCATAAACAATAACAATTTACGATAAATGCAATGCTGTTTTACTAGATTTATGTGCTAAAACCAACAACTACTTACAATAATGAAATGCATGGGCTAGATTTTTCTTTCGCCTGAGTCACTCCATTACCTCCAGTGCTTTAAGGGAATTGCTGCGAAGTAGAATCGGGCCCTTAATGGTTTGCCAGCTACCACACTGACATTACACCCAGACAACAGTCAGAAATTTATATTTAGGTCCACAAGAACAGTACATTCGATATCTTTAAGTGTTTTATGAGGCAGGACTTTTCTGACTGCTCTGGCAAAACCGCCGGTATGCATAGTAACTGGAGCTTTGAACAAATATTGCAGTTATGATTTACAGCACAATTGCCAGTCTCCCTGGCTTCATCTCTGATGGCTACTTACTCAGGCTGTCATTTTTAGCTCCACAGATTCTATCTGCCTTGGCCTCTTCCACAAACACTGGATTCACTGGAGTGTGTTGCAGACAATACAGCTCTCAAACAAAGAAGCATTTGTGTTCATTTTCTTCTATTTTATCTTTGGAATTCTACTATTTAGGTCACTATCTGTTGCTTCCAGCTATTCTTTCCTGACAAATTGTAGCTCTTTTTAGGCTTAAAAAGATATAATCAATGAATTCATCTGTTATTCCTCTGGGTATAAAGGTCTAGATGTAATAAGTGGTACACATAGTATAAGAAAGATTACATTGCTATTCCTGAATTGCAGCCCAAAGATTAATTGTGCCTTTATAAGCCAAAATTTGAAGAGCTGCTGGATGCTGGCCTCTGAAAATCTGATACAACACAATAAAACCCCAGTATTACTAGATTTCTCAAATGCTTTATATGTGATCTCTCACCAGCATGACCTGGAAGGGTGTGAATGTATGTATGTATATTCCACAGCACATAATTTTAGATGCAGATAAGGAAAATAATGATGAACAAACCTTTATCTGATCATATCTTAGTATCTGCTTTCCCTAAAAGAAAGAAAATAATTCACCACATTTTTTACTTGAAAAAGATAATCCTTGGATTTTAGCAAGTAACATCACTCATTGTGAAATGCATCAATATCCGTGGGATAAAAATTATACTTAGGTATGGGAACATACTGGAATTCCATTCATATTTAAACTTAAGCTCACTGATTGCTCTGCTCATGTAAAAAATTACTATGCTCTGAATGAAATGAGAATGAGTGCTTAAGCAAACGGTCATAAATTAATTTATAATGAAACATGACAGTCATAATTTAATTTAGAATGTATTTAAGATTGTTGTTACTATTCGTATAGGTCTGTTCTGCCTGGAGGAAGATGTGGCTTCTTAGTGAAATGTCAGCTATTGAAATACAAAACTTCTTCTGCGTACATGTGTTTTAATTAATTAAAATAATGTAGCTACTTTCCTAATGGAGATCTGTTGTCTGTGGCAAGCAGTCAGACAAAAGACTGCATGATCCAGGAACATGCAGTATCAGTGGAGCACCAAGGACTTACCAGGAAGTATGACGAACGCAGAGCCCAACCTGTAAAATCTGTGGGGTCATGAGGCTGCCACTCAGCTTCCTTCCACAGTGGTGAGGAACAGGGAATGTAATGAGAGCAAGGAGCAGGTGCTTTTGTAGTTCTCATCTGTTCTCCAAAGCTGTTGGCTGCCGAGGTACAGCAGAGTGGCTGTCTAGGCCCAGTACCACGTCCTTGAAATACCTGTTAGATAGATGGCTGCTTTTGCTGGTGTAAAGCTGAGCACATCTGAAATGTAGCTCAGGCACCTATCATCTGAATTGTCCTCTTGGCATCACTGACTGCCATAAGAGCCCCTGAAATGACTCTAGGTCTAACCTGTGCCTCTCAGGTTAGGAGGCACCAAGCTAGCTCTACTTACACCCCTGCTGCATTGCTGGCTTTAATATCCAGATGTTCCAGAATTAGGCAGAGGTTAAACTCCTCATGTTTGCAATGCTGTCAACAGCAGTATGCTGCCCTGTGTGCTGGGCTGGGTCCATGTCCAGCACCCTGCTGATGCCAGCATAGCAGGAAGAGGTGAAGGGCAAGACTAGCAGTTACAGCACAGGCACTCTAAACGAACAAGTTCTGTGGCATGTACTCTTTTAAGACATTGTTTTTCACTAGATTTCTACTAAATCTTTTGATGTTTCTGGCCAATTACTATGAATATGTATCTTTCTAAAGACAAAAATTCCTACCTTATGGGATTTTATTTTGATATTGCACAGGTTCTTCTTTGTAACTATTTCTAAGCACTAATGAACCTTCTGTCTGCACTGACTCTAACAATGAAACTGTATGGGTTAAAGTATTTCTCCAAGCTTTTCACTTTTATCAAATTTGCCTAATAGTATAGTAATGGTTTAATTTTAATGCATTACATTATTTCTCTGTTTTGAAAAGCACTGAGTCACAAAAAGAAGTAACTCTATTCAGTTTGTTAACTGAGAAATGGGACGGTAGGACGTTTGGGGATGGTCAGCATGTGACCACAAAAATCTTAGTTGCTTGTCTTGACATCAGTTATGAAACCATGATCCCAAGAACTTGGGATTTTTATTTGGAAGGTAACATTTAAGAAAAAAAAAAATTATAGGCCTTGAAGCATAATATCTATGCTAAAAATAGGTATTTATGAAAAGTAAAATAAAAAATAAAGCCCTTCTGTTACAATCACTGTAATGGTAGAGGGCAAAGCATGCATTTGCTGTAAACTGCATTTCACACTGATCAGCAAACAGGTTCTTTAGATATGGTTAAGCAGCACATCGGAAGTACTTGGCTACATAAGTAAACAAGTGACAGTAATTGGGCAGAAAGTAGTTTGTGTCTTCCTCCACCTGGGAAGTTTGCAAAGGGTCCTTTCCACACCTCTCATGGCAACAGAATTCTCCTTGTCATATATTAAAATCTTCCTTTAAAGTCAGGATATAAGGATGGTTAGAGGCTTGTGTTAAAAGATGAGCCAGTATATATTCTTACCCTGCTTTCACAGGGAGAGCAGTGGTAGCATTTTAGTTGAGAAGCTCCAAACCTCCAAGGCCTTTCTATCCTGGGTGCTCAGAAAATCAGCATCACCTGGAAGAGGAGTAAGCTGGTTTTAAACTTTGTATGTGATAAGGACACATAGCAGCAAGCAGTCAGGCGCTGTCACTTTGCATGCTGACCTTTGGCAGCCATAACATGCTTAGCCTCTATTTCATGTTATGTATCTACTATTTATCCCAGTTTCAAACCTGAGTAAAAGTTAGTCCTTTAGCATCAGAGAATGAAACCTTCCTAGAAAAACTACTCTCCAGCACCCACAACAGGTCCCTCCTTTCCAGTTAGCTCATCTTCTCAAATCAGGAGTATAATTAACCATGTTATCCTTGAAAACAAAAATTATCCTGGTTCCTTTACAAATTATTTCTAGAGAAAAACCCTAGGGAGGGAAGGGTGATAAGCTAAACACTATCCTAGCAAAAGCTTAATTTTTATCTTTCTCGATAAGATTTGACATTCTTATGTATCAGTACCTTAAAAGCCAGGTTTATAACTCTCATGTTTCATACTGATAGTAGAAGCCTTTTTTTTCATTGCCACTTTCTTGGCTAATACTGCATCTGGCAAGTTACAGCTTCGATTTTCCTTGAACACCACGAATACAAGCAGATCCCTCACATGCACAGATCAAACTACATTCAGGATAAAATTTTCACAACAGCCACACATTTATTTGTCACCTGGACATGCAGATCTTCTGTTTTATAAACTGAACACTGCCACCAGAGGCTTGACAACACAACATGGAGTCTTGCTATTTCTTGTTATATTATCATCAAAGGAAGTGTGATCAGCAGGCTGAAGGAGCTGATTCTGCCCCCCTACTCTGCTCTTGTGAGACCCCACTTGGAGTATTGTGTGCAGTTCTGGTGTCCTCAACATAAAAAGGACACGGAACTGTTGGAACAAGTCCAGAGGAGGCCACAAGGATGATCAGGGGACTGGAGCACCTCCCGTATGAAGACAGGCTGAGGAAGTTGGGGCTGGTCAGCCTGGAGAACAGAAGGCTGCATGGAGACCTCATAGCAGCCTTCCAGTATCTGAAGGGGGCCTATAAGAATGCCAAAGAGGACTCTTCATCAGGGATTTTAGCAATAGGACAAGGGGTAATGGGTTTAAACTGAAACAGGGGAAGTTCAGGTTGGATATGAGGAAGAACTTCTGCACTATGAGGGTGGTGAGGCCCAGGCACAGGGTGCCCATAGAAGCTGTGGCTGCCCCATCCCTGGCAGTGTTTAAGGCCAGGCTGGGAGGAGCCTTGAGCAACCTGGTCTAGTGGAAGGTGTCCCTGCCCATGGCAGGGGGATGGAACCAGGTGATCTTAAGGTCCTTTCCAACCCAAATCATTCTATGATTCTATAATGAAGTGCTTTGAAAAGCTGAAAACATTTTTGGGGGGTTAAGTTTCAGTCAGATCAATAAGCTGATCCAACTCATTGTGTATTGCACGGCTGAAGGACAGGGAGCTGCAGTAACAGACTGTAAGTAATGTTTATTGGACACCATCACCCTTTTCAGTGGACTTGGGAATTTGACTTCATAATCAACCAACTAACACCAAGAATGGTGGTTAATACAAAAGCAAGTTAATTAGTTTGAAAACCAGTATAGCTGAGTATTTCGTGGCTCTACTGCACCTGGTTGTGTGTAGAACCAGTTCCTCCAACAAGGATTTCTAGTTTAAATGGATTAAAGGAAGCACTTTGTCACCACAACAGGTAGAAAACTGAGGCATGGAATAACTGGGTAAATCACCAAGAAAAGATGTTCAGGTAAAGACCATACAGAATTCCCATATCACTCCCTTTTACCAGCTTCTGTAGTACAGTATTTTCCAGAACAGACTAGAAAAACGTAAAAAAATTTTAATGATGCTTTACAAATATACAGTACTTACATTTTTAGCAGTTACAAAAATGGCACATACTACAGAAACCAAAAGCTTCCTCTAACCTTTGGTACATTTCAAAGTTATTTATTTACAAAGAAAAATTACAGTCACTTTTCAGTGTCACATGTTTACATATAAGCATTTCTCAGTTGAAAAATATCTTGCAGCTTACCCACAGGCAGTTTTTGCAGTTTGAGCTCTGCACCCATCTATCACATAAAAAATTCTATCAGCCCCTGTTAAGCTGACATGACATTGCATTTTTATGTTTTAACAGCCTTTAGTTAGAAAAATATGTACAACCCATAAGGCTAAACTGATTCATAGCTGTTGAGATTTCATCTGATGTATTATATATTGCGCAAGATTTGGTAAAATGACACAGGCTACCTTTTTTAGTTAGCTGGGTAACTCACATTTAGACAGAGGTGATCCAATTTTGTCAGCTGGAGTATTCCTAACTCTTCATGAAGGGAATTTAAAAAATGAAAAAAAAAAAAAAATTAAACATAATTTTCAGGATGCTTTTTTCACATTATGAAACCTTTATATTAAAATTTTCCTTTGCTATGTACAATTCTTACCTAAAGTAGCGAAGACAAACTGAGCACACTTTCCAAATCCTGTTCATTTCCATTAGGTTTCCAATATTGGATGTTTTCTAGATTGTACTTTCTTTAAACAAGAACTTAAAAACTTTCTTCTACCTGAGAACAAACGTTTTCTTAGTCTGAGTGTACTTGAGAGTCTTAGAAATTAAAATACTTGCAATAAGAGAAATACAGCCGAAACACATACAGTCTGTTTTTGACATATATTTAGGTGTGTATACAAATGCTTTCATGCTCTGGTGATTTTCAGACTATACAATTTCAATACACAACAGTATGTGAACTCAGCACAATCCTCACTGTGCTGAAGGTAGTTTGGGACTACACGTTTACAACTGATAGTTTTTAATTAAGAGTTAATACCACCAGAGTATTAGTGCAGGTCAAGATTGTTTTAAATTGAGAAACAGGAAAAGCTTGCTGTCGGTAGCTGTGAACAGGATTTAAAAAGTGTCTTCCAGCATTACAGTATTTCCCTCCCCAGAACTTACTCAAGAGACAAACTCCAAATTCAGGCATCTTTAACGTATGCCTGCATTCTGGATTTTCTTCGTGCAAGAGCTTCTTGCTTTTTTCTTTCAATCTCCTCTTGAGAACATTTTCTGGTTTTATTCTCCACCACAGACGCTGTAAGTAAAAAACACGTATTAGGAGCCTTCAAGGTTGTTCAATACGTATTTTAACTTATCTGTTTTCAATGTTTGAAGATCTATGGCAACAGCACACTATTCTAACATACCAAGCACCCAAGTTAAAAATGGCTCATCTATCCTGTCCCCTCCTGTCCCCAAGGCAGGAAGGGGGGATAAGATGCATGACCTTTGTAGTGCTACCAATTACTACCCCCCAATGAAAATACTGGGATGCAGACGTTTGCTTCAAGGAAATTTTACTTGGCTGCCCTTCAGGTGAACCTTGTGACATCAGGAGTCAACACAGGAGATGGCGATGGGTTAAGAACATTAAGGCTATCAGAGTGAAAAGGGCTCTACAATTTAGTGAGTTAGGCAGAGATATGGGCATGGAGATGGTATAGACACAGGGGTCAGATACAGTACAGGTGTCACACAAATAAAGCCAGAAAGGTTGAAAAAAGGTCAAAAGTAGCAATAAAAATTGGCAAAGGAGACAGGAACATGATAGCTAGCCATAGTATTTTATATGTTGTGATACAGAACTATAAATTCCCATGCAATAAAATCCTGACCTCAGTGCAACCAACAGGAACACTCCCTGCACATACCAAGCATTTTACTGGTTTTATACACCAATTTCCAATTAATGTATTTTTAATAAGTAATCTTTCAAACTGAATAAATAAAAGGTCTGTTTGCTTCTTAAAACAGAGGTGTTCATGAAAAAATATTTATCAGTTTTTGAAAGCATTACTTAACATCCATGTTTTTGTTACAGCAACGTCCTTTCACCAAAAAATTGAAGGTAAGAACAGTTACTGTTTATCTGTAAAGCAAATTTATACTATTGTCATTCCTTTATTCTCTAGAACATTCCTGAGAATGACTAGTCATCTCCCCTCCCTTCCCCTTTAGCATTCTAAATTGCTACTTTCCATTTATCTGCTTCTTTGCTGAGGAAGTAACAGAGATAACATACTGATACTTCAAATAAAGCTGGCTGATATTTTGCAGGAATTCATTTTTTTGTTGTTTTTGTAACAGTGCTTCCTGAAAATTGAAGTTGGTAATAGTACACCAAAAAGCTCATTTTGTCAAAACTAGTATTGCTTAAAAACTTCACCAAGCCATGAGATCAAGTAAAAACAGGACTGACTGGCACTTGGCTGGTTCTGCATTTCCATAGCATGTAACAGCAGTGCACGGAGTATTACAGACTGTTGCCTGATGATGGAAAAGTGACTGACCTCCCCTCTAGGTGAAAGAAAATGTTAGTGTTTAGACTGATAACACAAGAATATTTCACTGGCAGTTTTAGCCACAGAGCAAACAACAATACAGGCTGAGGTTTCAGAACCACTGAATGATTTGAGGTTCCAGTTTCTAGGTGTACAATAGTAAAAGGAAATTGGCATCCTGCATCACCTGCTGCCTTCTTCCCCTGCCCCACCATTAACTGGGGTTTTATGCATCATGACTGAGATAAGTAACTTCTAATGCTTTCAAACTGAGCTGTAAATTAAAGCACAGATTCACACTACAACATTTAATACATATCAAAACAGCAATGTTTTTAAATATCAATTTAAGAATATGATATGCTGAGTGCTGGCATCAGCATATATTTGATCCTAGTGATTCCAAGTGTCACTGGAGAGAGAAGTGGAATGAAAATGGGAAAAAGTCTTTAAATACAGGGATTCAAAAGATGCATCAGCACAGTTTTATTTTGGAGAAAATATTCTCCAAATTTTCATTAGAACATTTACTAACACCTAAGCTGAATGAGTACTGACACCTATTCTAAGCTGCAATACAGTATAAATTTTTCTAACATTCGGATTACAGTAACAAGCAAACCAGTATAACAGTGATACAATAAAGACAAATACCTGCTGTCGGCAGTGCAAAAGACTCTGAAAGGTGCCTCTTGAAAGGTGACTTCTTATTGTCAAGCCTGCTGTGCAAAGTCACATTCACCTGATTCTTGCTTCCTTCCAAAACCTGCAGAGTAATCCCAATGCCAGAATGACTCCCTGCCTTTTCAGACCCTACATGAAGAGCACCTTGAAAATTATTAGTCTTTCGGAACTTAAACTTTGAAGGCATAAGTGATGTTTTGTTACCAGAACTGTTACTTGGCATCTTCCCCATATTATACAAAAGATCTGGACTGTCTAGAGTTTTGCTACCAAAAATATTTACTGCATTAACAGGACTTACTTCAGAACCAGTCTCTCCTGCCGGCACAGAATTTGACCTGTACCATTTTCCTGCCACAGTCTTTGTAGTATCTTCAGAAGCAGCTTGATGACAGTTTTTAGACAGTGTGTATTTACACTCCGTGGAAGTACCTGAGATCACAGTTTGAGGAGTTGAGACATTCTTACAGTTCACTATGTGACCTGTTGTGGCCAGCCCATGTGGAATCTTTGACAAATTCCTACAGGAACCGTTTATTGAGAAAGCATCCTGTTTTCCGTTTGTTTTTTGTGCCAAGAGATCAGCTAGTCCTTGTTTAGATTCTGGGAAGCTGTTATCAATATTTGATCTGGCACTAATACTTGTTCCTTGTATAGTTTTAGCTCTTTCATTTCCTTGTTTAACATCCTGGATCTGAGTCTGCTTTTCTATATCATCACACACCTGATACAGCAATTCATCATCCTCACAATTTGCATCCCATAGACTATCGGATTCACAAAACATATCTAATATCTCATCAGAGAATTTTGGTTCATTCCAGTCATCAAATGATAGAGAACACTTCTTTGATATTTCAAGTTGATTTAAGTGAGCTGCATTAGCTTGGTTAATCACCTTAGTTAGATCCTTAGGTTTCATATTTGTAGAAACACTGGATGATTCACAGAAAATACCATGTGTGTTATTCCCAGGTTTTCCAGACCATTGTCTATAAGGATTAGATCTTGAAGGAAAAACGGGAAGAGAGGCACTTTTAGGCTGCATAGTTTCACTTCCATCCTTCACTTCAGATTGCAATGAAACAGATATATAGTTCAAACCGCTATTTTGGGCACTCTTCCAAACAGGATTTATTTTATCTGGTTTAGTGTTACTTTTGCCATGAAAGGGTGTGGTCTCTGTCTTTGAGTTTTGTGTCTTATATGGCTTTTGTAGAGGAGATTTTACACCATTTGTTGTGTTTTTACTAGGATGTTTCAAAGGTGAAAACTGCAAACTGTTAGATTCATGTACACTCCCCAAACAAGTAACTGAATTGTGGCTACTTCTTTCGTTAGTTCTGCTAGCATTGCTGAAACCATGCACAGATAGGTTTGTAGGAATTGGTGGTGCTTCTTCAGGACTTATCAATTCAGGATTTTGGGTTATTTGCATCACAAAAGAGTCATCTGCCAAAAAATCTGAATCCCAATCATCAAAGTCATCATTAACTGCTCCATCAGGCTTAACGGAAGCCACTAACTGTGGCTTCAAAGGATGTTTTTTGGTCCGTGTGTGAGTATCAGATTTTGGAAAAGCCTGGTTCACACTTCCTAGTGTACATAGAATATTGGTTTTATATGCCTCTGAATTACAAGGTTGGGTGTCTTTATGTTGCTCAGGAAGGTGTCCCTCCTCCAAGGTGCTTTTATTTTCATGGAAACTATTATTTAAAGATATATCTGATAGTCCTTGGCTCAACTGTCCACTACACTTCTGGGTAGAGCAGTCAAAAAGAGCATGGAGGGCTACTTCAGCTTCAAGGTCTATAGATTTCTGACTGCTAGATGGACAGGGGTCTGCAGCAGGGATACCGGTGCTCTGTCCAACTGGTTTCTGGGAGAGAACAGTATCTGTTTCAGAAACTTCACCAAGGAGTGATTTCAGGTTCTTCCTATTTACTTCAGCTTTAGAATGATTTGAAGACTCTGAGGCAGTCTGGATGACGTCATGACCAAGCTTCTCTTGTTCCTGAACAGCATCTAGCTCTACGAGATTTTTATCAAATTCCTTAGCCAATTTCATGAGTTCCTCTTCAGGATTTTTTATTTTAAGATCTCTAGATTAAAAAAACAAAACAAAATTGAAAGAAAGTCAGACCTTCTAAAAAGGTTTAGCAAAGCTCAACACAATGACTGTATGAGAGAACTGTTCATTCTCTAGCTTTAACAACTGCAGAGAATATGACTGAATCCTACCACTTTCAATGCACTCTTTCTGGTAATTCCCAAGAAGTACCCCTTAAGAAGAGATAACAAGCACAAAGTTAAAAATGTTTTGTATGCTAATGTACAGTTATATGGTTCACTATACATAAAGGCACACCACATAACCTTTTCTAATGAAGGCCCAGCTGTGATGGGCAAGACAAAACTGTAACTTACCTTGTGCAACTTAACTTTGTCCTAGGTCGCACTTTTACTACTCCAGGTGTACAGGGAATAGCATCCTCACCAATCCATGTCCCTAAAAGGGAGTCTTCATTACAGCCTGCTTTTTCATCCTGAATGATTAGATTTGTAATGTTTAGCAATCTGATTTCAGATAAAGATTGGACTAGACATACACCCTGCATTAAAGTTGCTACATCAATGACACTGGATCAAATCTGTTGAAAGCCACAGATAGGAGCTAAACCAATACAAGTTCAGTGAGATTACTACAATATTGTCTACTGATAATTGGATCACTTTAGTTATATGGATTTAAGACAGGAACTTCAAATAACTGAATTCTACTTTGGTGCTCAAATCTAATTAACTCTATTTACTTCAGGTTTACACATAATCTGCAATATTCACATCACAAGCTGTGATCTAGTTTACTTTACTGTACTACTAAGGAGCTGGTTCAGATACATGGTCTTTAGCCACATAAAACCGCATTAACAGATCAAAGAATTTGAAAGAAATCATATTCTGTATGCTTCTAGGAAAAAAATCTGACTTCTTCCATTACAACTCATTTATACAAGGAACCTTTAAACAAGAATAAATGAAGTTTAGAAATTAAGTGGAGTTGTTCCAGAGCTTCAAAGTTGAGCCTTGGATTTGATTTCTGAAACTGAAGAGATACAATACTGCAGTGGTAAGCTGTTTAGAGGGCCAGAGCCATGGGATGTAGGAAATTACTGCATGTAAGCAGGCAAAAGTAATTTGACCTTTACTAACAACCAGGGTAGTTTGTTGTAGGTTTTCTTTTTCCTTAGATTTTTTTTTATTATTATTAAGAAAAAAGAACATAAGCAACGGATACTTGAAAATCCTGGTGTTATTTACATCTATGACAGTGCTATAATCATGTAAAAGGAAGGAAGTAGCATCCCTTACCAGTGATTTTCTAATTCTTACATATAATTTCTCACAAATATGCCAAATAATGAATATATTTTAAATTGCCCTGTCAAATTGGCATATTCTGCAAGCTAAATAACTGTTTTAGGAATGACATGTTATCTTCTTGCACTTAATGAAAAGCAAAGAATAACCCAGTACTTTTATTTTCACTTTGCAGGCTGTGGACATCAGGTTCACAGCAAAAGGGAGACACCAAGAACATAAATGTAAGGTAAAAAAAAGCAAATTATGTAGAATACCAAAGCAATGTTACTATGTTTATATTATTGTGAAGTCTCTCAGCTCAGTCTTGTTCTTGTACTTCAGAATTTAAGAACATTAAAAATGCTTAAAAACAACTGCTAAGTAAGCCTGGTATGTGAAGAAACTCTTTACCTTTTAACTGAAGAGTAATTAAGGATAAACACACTACTGTAACTAAACCTGAGCCTTCACTAAGGCTGTAACACTAATCTGTCTGATGACTGCATATGCAGAGCGTTGTTTTAGTGAGAATTACCTGAGGAGCGATACGATTTACAATGTCTGAGATTTCTACTGCGCATCTACTGGTCGCCTGTTTGGTTTTTCCAGTGCCTATGAAAACAAACAAAAAACCTTCTTAAAAACTGCAAAAGAATTCCATTTATAAAGTGCAGTGTATGTCAGATAATTCAAATACATGTGTTAACATCAGAGCTTAGCACTACATTGAAAAAATTATGGGTTATTTATGGATTTTTAACAAAACCAAACAACCTACCCCGATGTTGTAGGGAAAAAGGGACCTTTTTTCAAGAAATTTGATAACTTTTAGTGAACTCCCACAGCATGCCTCAAATAGGCACGCTGAAATCCGGATTTTATTAACATTACCTAGTCTGTGTGCAATTGGTGAATGAGGATCCCAAAAGATTTCTTGCTGTACATCGGTTTCGTTAACAGGGGAGCTGAAAGTAGGTATTCGGGATTTCCTACTCAACGATCTCTTTGGTGTTTTATGCAAACATGACTCTGTGTGAACAGGGAGATGATTCTCATTAAAAACAATGAATAAAAGGCCAAAATAACTTAGAAAATAAAACAGGAGAAGGCATAAGATGCTTTAGGAACTTTAAATTAGGAAAATTGACACTCATTAACATTACTTATAATAAGAAAAATTGTTCACAACTATACATTTAATGTAGAGTATGACTCTTATCTATCCGTTACACCACCAGAGGTAACAGAGCATTACAGCTGACAGCTGTACACTGAACACCTGATATAAGGATGACAATTGTCAATTCTGCTACTTGAGAGGATATTGATTTCAGCTTACGTGGAGAGATAAACTGTGTATACACATATGGGAGAATCTTTTGTATTCTTGCTCGCTCTGTGTCTTTCACCCAGATTCTGATTTGGGTCACAACTTTAATGAGCCCCCAAACTGTTCTGGGTCACAACCTACCTTTGTCTATACTTGCCCCACTGGGCCAGTCATCTAGAACTGTTAAAAGCAGTCATATAGCTATTCTAAGACAGCTTGCGGCTGCTTCACATCACTAAGTGAACCGAAGACACTGTCTGAAGCTCAGCTTGTCACTCCTGCCCTTTAGAAATGACGCTGCAAACGCGAAAGCCTATAGAAATAATTTTAAACGATGCAATTGCTACGTGAAAAGCATCTCAGGAGACGCTTTGCACTTCAGCACTTGGCGCAGCCAGGCTTTATCCTCTCCTCGAGCGGATGAGCGTCCTCAGTCAGCTCTAAGTATGTGCCGCGGGAAGATGCTCTTCATCACTGCTTCACAAGAAGAGCCCCTTCCCAGCGCACGCAGGCGGGGAAAGGCGGGGGGTTCCCCGCACCGGCCCCCTCCTCACGGTCAGGGCCCGCCTCCCCTGCGGCGGCGGCCGGGACAGGGCCCCGGGGCCGCTCCCGCCGTACCTGCAGCGCCGCGCACCGCCGCCTCCCGCGACGGCGACGGCCGGGGCGCGCGCGGCGCCTCCCCCGCGGGCAGGCTCGGGCCCGCACAGCCTTCCGCGCCGCTGGCCGCAGCCGCGTCCTCCGCGGAGGGCTCTGCCGGGGACTCCGGCGGCCGCCGCCGGGTGAGCTGCTCCTCGCCCCCGCCGCTCCGCCTCCTCAGGGCGGCGGGCTTGAGGCAAGACCCCTTCCGCCGGCTACCGGGCATGCCGCAAGTTACGACGACAGCCCCGCATCCACCCCACCGGCGCCGCCATTTTGCCGGGGTGCCCGCCGCGCCACCGCCGATTGGCCGCCGCCTCGCCGCTTCGATCCGCCATTGGCTCTCGCGCGGCGGGGGCGGGTCGACGGACGCGGCAGGGAACTGCGGCTGGCAGGGAGCTCGCTTGCGCCGCGCGCGCTTGGCCCCGCCCCCGCTTTGCCATGAGGTGACTTGGCTCGGTCCCGCCGCCCCGGCGCTTTGAGGGCGGCTCTCGCTCCGCAGGCTGCCCGCGGGGTTAAGCGTTCAGAGCCCGGGTGCATTAGTTCAGTGCAAACAAGTCTGTGTGCCGCCGCCTGAGGGGCTGGGTGTGCTGTCTGATGGGCCGCGGCCACCGGCCTGCCCGGAGGTGGCTTCGTGTCCCTGAGCTGCCTCGTGTGCCTTCAGGGTGCCTCGTTTGTGAGGCCGTCTCACCCGGACTGGCCACCTCCACCCTGTGTGGGTCTCTGCTCGGGACCCAGAGGGGCGGTGTGTGGTGAGTGTCCTGAAAGAGAAAATAAACCGAGACAGCCATAAACCGTTTCAGCCTGTTATGGGAGTTGGGGCTAGCAAAGAGAGACTTACAGAAGCCAAAGCTGGTAGGTAAGAAATTAACATGAGGTTCCTGAGGGACTGTGATATTACATCATTATTTAAAATAATATAAATGCAAGCACATGTATGTATTACATCATTAGGTGGATATTTCCTCCCTGAGCCACTAAACGTAAATGGATAAACATATCTACCAAGCATATAAGGTCAAGGAGTGACCTACTTGCAGAGGTCGAGTGAACTACTTGTATATTGGTTGCCTGCCTGGTTTTCATTTAATTGATTTGGAGTACTTTGGGATCACACTTCATTTATAGGATGTGAGCAGTGGATTTCACTCTGGGTTTGGGAGTATGAGAAGTTTTAAAGTCACCGAAGAGTGATTCCCTGAGCCATGAAACCTTTTCTTTCAACCCCAGGCCTCAGGCAAACTCTATGTTTTTTCACTTCTTCATTCTCATGAGTGTAATTAAAGTCAATAGAAGACTTTTTAACAAGGAAAAAAAAAATTAAGTACTATGTATTAAACAGAGAAACCGTTACATACATAGAGAATCACAGTTAATCAAAGTTGTGACATTTGAATAATCAACTTGTTTATGTCATACCTATTAAATATAAATTGAAAAAAAGGCCGAAAAAATGGGTCAAGAGTCAGGTTATAAAATCCATCATAGATGTCTGAACACGGCTACTGCCTTGTAGGCAGACGAACATGGGTAGATCTGTGCATAGTGCAAAGTGTGGTGAAGGTATGCATGACATTTTTGAACAGTGATCTGCAGTATAGTAATTAAAAGCAGTAATACATCACACAGCTACAGAAATGGCTTAACTGGACTCTTTATACCATAGGCACAATGTAGATAACTTGCTCATTGTTTCCGGTTGAAATGGATGCTGAGAAGAAACTGCCTTTTTACAGTAGTGGTAGCTAAAATTTGAGGGCTAACACAATTTGAGGGCTAACAATGCATTGAAATCAACACACTTTAGCACTACTAAAATCTTGATGTCTCTTACCACTTCCTAGTGACCTCTTAGCAGCTGGGTACTGTAAAATGGTCTGCTTTCATATTCCTTTATGTTAGCAAGAATAGTCTGAAATCATGGTCATTGATAATTAGAATTAAGCGACCTTTGCCATATTAACTGAGTGCTGTGAATTTTGCAGTGCCATCTTTGATTTCTTCCTTTCTCTGAGCTCACTGTTCACTAACCTCATTCATAAAATGTATTTGCCACAGGCCTTTCACACATTGGAGAGGTTTTACTCGTACAGTTAAAAGTGTTTTGTTCTGGTTTCTTTTTTTTTTTTTTTTGTTTGGTTGGCTTTGGTTTTTTGTTTGTTCTTTTTTTTTAGGGAGAAAACATGTTTTATGTGTATCTAGCTCTGGGTGAGAGATTTTGTTACATCAATTTAAGCCTATGCAAGGTTTCATCACCAAAAGTTCACAAAAGAAAATAACCTGTTGGTACGGAAAAGCTGAACAGGTTCATGATGGAAAAATAAAACAAGCCAACACCACTTTCTTGATGAATAAAAGTGTGTGTATCTCACTGCAGCTTAAGAACTTAGCCCTGAGCTGATGCTGTTTATTAAGTTAAGAAATGTAGTGGTAGAAGTCTGTGATGTTGAAGGGTTTCTCTGTGGAGCTGTAGCCTCAAGGAGGAGGGAGTTCGTGTTCCCTTGTCATGGTACGAGCAGCTGGATCAATGGCTAATTGTGGTGAGGCTGTGTTCCAGGGACTTGCAGCAAACTCCTGGTGCTGCAGTTGTGAGTCCTACTTTCAAATCAAGAGGGATAAATAATGGAGGAGCTTGAATGCATAATAAAGTTAGTTCAGTTTTTAATAGTACTGTAAACTGCCTGAGAACTTTACACTGTGTTTTATTATGAGATGAGGATCTAAAATGAAATTAAAGAAATGTGGAAGATCTGAGAGGTTTCCTGAGAATTTCCTGTAGGTGTAATAAGAGCACTGAAAATAAGAGTGAGAAAAGGCTTCTTTTTAAAGTCCTTTGAATACTGAGTTTTAGAGTGGTTTTATCTTGGAAAGAGTATGTATCATTAGTGAGAGTTACTTATTTTCAGAGTATCAAAGAGAAGTGACTTTATGTTACAGTTCATCTTTCATTCTTGTTGGGGCTGGAAAAAATATAAATCAATAATAGTGATTTAAATGAAAATACCAAGATTTGTGAGATGATAGAGGTTATTATAAATAATGAAATTATTTTGACAAATACTGCCTTTTTCCAGAATGTTTTTAAATGCTTCCTGATATTTTTAAAATGAGGTATCATGGGCTTTTGTGTTCCCAAGCTGCATTTTCATTTCAAATTGATTTCTTTAAAAGGACTGAAAGAGAAGTAAAGAAAACATACACATGCACTCATAATTTGTCTCCAGTGGAAATGTGTGCATGCATTTTGATCACCTGAGGCCAGGTGAAAAGACAAATCCTTCAAGCCATATGTTCCTTGGATAATTTGTTTTTTAAAATGGTGTGGGTATAAACTCTAAAACTCAGTATAATTATGTGGTACTTTAAACATAAATATGTTTTCTCCTAGGGAAGGAGAGTTAAATAAAGAGTGTATGGAGCTGACTAGCCGCCTTTAGTACATACCTAAGGCAATATGGTAAACAGGTCATAGTCTCTTTGCTTGTGCAGTTAGACTTCTGGCAAGACAGGTATCAAGAGAAGTTTTCTAAATGTGTGAGGACCTGTCTACTTCTTTGGTTGTGTACAAATAGCAAAACACAAAAGCAAATGTTAACAAAAGCAAAATGTATCTAAGGTTGTGCACTGCTGTGTTCGGTCTACAGTTCTGTAAAAGTCCTCAGGAAATTTCAGTGGTCCCAAGAGCAAGAGTATGTGGCTGTGCTTCCTTGCACAGTGCAGACTTCCCTCAGCCTTGTCGTGCTTCTGCAGAGTGTGGCTCAGCAATACTCAGAGGTGTACAGAGGGACAGGAGTGGTAACTTAGGTGACGATACCTTCTAGCTGGGTTTACCATTCAGAGCTGGCTTGGATGTTTCTCTGCAGCACTGCCTCATACCATGTAGGCATACCTTGGTATGCCTGGCTTCATATCTGTCAAAAGGAGGTAACAGTACTCACTGCAGCATGGGTTGTCCTGGGGATAATCGTGAAGCCATTGGATACCACAGTGAGGGGAACTATATAAACAGGAATAAATTTAGATACTTAATGTAAGATGCATTTATAAATACAGCCCTGTGGACCCAAGCAAAAATAAACTAAGACACTGGTATAAAACTCAGCTATGAAAGTAGAATATTCTAGCCACAAATTTTTACCTTTTTTCCTCTCAGAAATCCTACTCATCCATATATTCTCTTAAGAAGCCTTGGAGTGTTTACTAAAATGGAGCACTACATGATAGCAGGTAGTTTATACAAGTTAACAACAAGAGGTAAGTGTTTTGTTGCCTTCTTTGGGGCCTTAGGAAAAAATGAGAGGGTATCTGAAATGTTAACTTAATGGACAATAATTTTTTCCATCCATAGGGGAACACAGGCATGTGTGTATTTTTGCTTTTATTAATAGCATTTTGATAGCACAGTTATAAAGCTTGTCCTTCGCTTGCCTTGAAATATCATACCGACTTCACTTATTACAGAATGTTACTTTAATTTTCCAAGGTGAAATGTTCACAGAGCACAAACTGGTGAGGAAAATATGGCCAAAACAGTTACGTCTACCTTTATTTTTAAAGTGCTGTCCAGAAGGGCTTGCAGCAATTTTTGCTGATGCATAAATTGACCTAGACAGTAAATGATACATGACCTTAAAAATACCTGAAGTAGCCTTGCTTGAGAATTTTTAGTAGAGAGTTATTAAATGTCAGAGTAATTTACACAAGCATAGCCTGGTTTATGCTTTAGCATTTTCTTTCCCTCTTTCTCTCCACCATGCCATCTGAGAAACATAGAAGCTTTTAAAATATTTTACATATATCTCTTTTTTTTTTTCTCATCATAGAGGTTGATCTTATTTTATCACACTCAGGAAATCTAATCAAATGTGAGACTATAGTGTAGCTCACAAAGGCCTGATCCAGCAGAGCACTTAAGTACCTGCATAACTTCATCGTGATGACATTTTCCATTGCTCATTAACTGGCATTTAAAGGAAATTTTCCATTGCTTGGTGTCTGGGCATTTAGAGGCAATTGTCAGCCAAAATGGGTGAGCCATTTAGAAGAATTAGGTCAGGCAGTGAACAGCCTACAAGTCACAGAGGTCTGTAGGGAGCCCTGGAGGTTCAGGCCCCTTACAGAAGGCTGGAGATCACCACTGAGAGGGCTTTCTATTAGGTATTTATTATAATGTAGGCTTAATTCCACAGCTGTTCTCCAGTTCTCAGGGTGACCTGTATTGAGAAGGTGAGTAATGGTTGTTCAAGGCTGTGGAGACCACTGCTTGGAGAACTTACGCCTTAAATCTTAGCTGGGCCAGTTAGCTTCAGGCACTGCTGCCTGGAGGCAGCTC